GTGGGTTGTGTCCTAATTCATTTGTAGGCTATGCTGTTTTGTAGCTTTGCTGTCTGTTTACAGTTAACATTTGCTAGTATGCTAAAGTTATTCTAATATGGGTGGAGCCTAAATGTACTTGTTATTTTTGTGTCTTTATAGCTCTTACGTTGATATTGGAGATTTCAATAAATTCATATCATCAGTCAAGTCTTCGACCATTATTCGGAGGGAAATGCGACAACGATGCTTGGCAATGGGCATTATTGTGTTATTATTATAGGCCAGGCCTACCTTAAAGTGGACCTATCATGCTATATTTGAATAATATAGTGTAGGACCATACCTATATAAGGCATATTTATACTTTTTATTTTTCAAAATACCAAACAGATCATGCATTTTAGCCATTCCTCATTTCGCTCAATTTAACACTGTCTTTGCATGGGCTGATTCTGTGAGAACAGCACCATCTACAGGCCTGGCATATGTACTACAACGTCTCCAGCGCTTTCGAACGGCAATGCCCGTGGTTAGCCCAATAGCCGTCGCGCCACTTCTGTGACGTCATAGAAGTGTTCAAATCTGGATCAGTCTGTATCAGATCCGTTGCAGCCCCTTTTTAAGAGATTTGGGTATGGAGGAAAATAGAGAGGGTTGTGTTTTCTGACACCTGGTGAGTTCCCTGTAACACCGGGGACACATATTCATGTATAAAAGACGTACAAAAGTGCATTTTGCATGATAGGTCACCTTTAAAGTCATTTTTCCCCCTGGAAAAAACTGGCCCACCCTATTTCATACAGGCCCGTCCTAAAGTAAATTTCTGCCTACGCTACTGCCGTCCGTCAACCTCTAGTTAATAACTAGTCAATAGCATACGAAAGACACTTTTTGTTTATTACAGATCAAATCTGTAATGTTAATGTTTGGTGATATACAGCATCGGAAAGCATTATGTGTGTTAAGGTATGTAGTCAGAAAATGTCTATAAAATGTCTTTACATTTACATTTCTTAATGCTTTATTTATTTTTTGTAAATTATTGTTACATATCAATGTTAATTAATGAACATTTTTGAAACAGCAAGAAAAACTAAAGGGCAGGAGCAACAACGTTTTAAGTGTTTAGCATTTTCTGTATTTAAATAGTATTTAATACGGAAGTGTAATGCATTAAATGTAATACTGCAATATAACCTGAAAAAAGCACTCACTCTTTATAATCAAACACTCACTCTTGGTTCACAAAAAAGAACACTGTTAAATCTTACTTTGTTCTCCAATAAATTATACATTTGTAAATATCCAAACCAACATGGTGCAAAAGCCAATTTAAGGAAAAGCATTTTCAAGATACTTTGGGATGTTAACATTTCCGCACTCTGATGTTACCTTACCTATTTTTTTTCTTAGTGTATATAATGGTTTTAAAAGGGTTGAACGAGTAGTTTAATCTTGCTTAAGTCATTTTTATATATATGGAAACGTCAAGCCGTCATTTTCAATGTCTTCTCTATCTAGAAACCAGAACTCCTGGCAGCCAATGTAACAAATATTCAGGTTTCATCCTTGTGTAACGGCAAAAGTAAGAAAAGTATAAATAATATATCATGCATTTATATCATATATCATACATTTAAGTTATCATGACATTAACACAGACGTGTCTCTCAGTGTTACTCCTGGCAGACTTGCTTGCAGCAGCAGTGGCAGCAGCACCGGTAGTATTGCTGCAGCTGACTGAGGAGTCCACTGGAAGTCTCTGGAGCTGCCTTCTTCTCTCCTAACTTTTTCTGTTCTTTATACATTTTTGCAGAAGCTTCTCCTTTTTTTAGCTGTTCGTCCTCTGTGGTTACATTGACATTTAATGTTTGATCATTGTTGGTAGTTCTCTTTGGCCTCAACACTTTTTCTTTGTCAGAGAGTTTGACAATGTTAGTGAGCTTTTCAGCTTTAAGTTGTTGGAGCTGTGTGTGTCTTAAATCAAGCATTGTGCGGTCTATCTTCCAGTCACTTTGGGATGTCATGTCCTCACCTAGTTCTTGTTTGAGCTCCTTCTCCAATGATTCATTTTCTTGTAGCCATGGTCTCCTCACAAACTGGTTGATCAACTTTAGTCTTTTCTCTAGGTTATTTCTCATTTCATGGCTCAGGATCTTCATTTGATAGATCTCATTTCGTTCCATTTTAGTGTCCTTCCAGATCTTTCGCAAACAATTCCTTTTTGATCTTTTCTTGTCTGTAAAATAATCTTGTTCTGAAGCTGATAGTAGTTTATTTTTATTTTTTTCATATTCTTTATCCATCACGAGAACATCGATATCCATTTTCAAGTATTTATTTTTTATTTTAAGATCATGTTTATCTCCTTTGAACTTCTGCTGATCAATTCTTTCAGTCTGGATTGTGAAATCTGGCTGCTTAACAACCTGACATTTAAAGTATTCATGTTTATTCAAAACCTGTTTCTCAACACATGGCTCTTGCTCATGCAATTTTTGCCATGCCACCTCTGTTTGTACAACCTTGTCAAATGTCACTGTCACAATGGTGTTTTTATCTGTTTGTATCATATCATAATAGCTAGTAATCTCTTTTCTCTTTTTATCAAATTCCTTAAACTTGTGTTCCAATAGTAAGTTTAATTGGAGCATGTCAATATATTTCTGCCCTAACACCTCAATATTCTTTGTAAAGACTTCATTGCTCACTTGATTAAGGTGTTTGAGTTTTACTTGTATACCTCCTATGGAGCTCAGTAACCTGATAAGCCACTCCTCTTTTGTTTTCGTATCAGAAAGTTCTCCTTCCATCCTCCTTTTTTCACTTAACAATTCCTTCTCACTCTCAATGGTTGTCTTGATTTGAGCCAGTAGTTCTTTTTCTTTGTTTATCTCATCAAACTGAATGTCTGCTTGTCCTTTCAACACTTGAAGATCAGTCTTTGTGATTTCCAATTTCTCTGTTTCTTCTTTTATATCTTGTCTCTGTTGTTCCAACATGTCCCTTTGTTTCAAGATGTCCGACCTGATCAAATCAAAGTCTAGTTTCTCTTTGTTCATCACCTCACTCTCTCTATCCAGGTCCTCTCTTTCTTTCTTCAACTTTGCCTTCAGTTCCAGAAGATGTGTCCTTTCCAACAAGGCCTCTTGTTTCAGTTGATTTCCCATTTCCTGTCTTTGAGTGACACTTTCTGACAACATGATCTTCAACCTTTCTCTTTCCCTCTGTAACGTCTCAGTGTAACGTGACATATGTTCTTTCTGTTTATCCAGAACGTCATGCTTTTGCTCCAAAACACTCAACAGTTTAAATGTGTCTTCATTGTTTTGTTCCAGTCTTATCATTTTGTTTTTAATTTCTTCACTCATCCTTTCATTCAGCTGATGAAGTTTTTCCCTCAGAATTTCCATTGATTTCATCGTATTCAATATTCGATCTTCTCTTGTTTTCAGGTCCGACATTCCTCTTTCCATTCTGTCCTTTTCATTGTTTAGCATTGTCCTCTGTGTGTCAGTAGTACTCTGCATCTGATTGAGTATCTCTCTCTCTGAACTGATGGTGTTCATGGCTGTTTCAACCTCTTCCCTCTTCTTGTTGAGATCCTTCCTCAAAAGATCCAGTTCTTGTGTTTCTTCCAGCAGACTGGTCTTTCTGGTTTCCAGTTCTTGTGTTTGTCTGCTGAACTGGTCCTCCTTGAGTTTTTGTTCTTCTTGTTTTAAAACAATCATGGTCATGATATTCTCAA